TTGAACGGAGTGCCGCTTCCTGCCTCTCAGCCTAATAGGATCCTAATTAATTGCCGTTTTAATTTTTTGAATTTTATCTTACTGATTGATTTCTCTCTTTGTGGTTGCTTTGGCTTTTTGAGAGAAGCACAGTGGAGACTTCGCTGTGCTGTTTTTGATAAATCGACAGGGAGCTTGGCGGTGTTGAATTTGGGCCCTCCTGACTGGTTGCTGTCACTGGTGCGCAAGTAAGCAGCAGTATGGCACATCTTTCCCGCAGGAGGGCCAGACAGGGAGGTTGTAGCTGTTTGCCAGTGCTTGGACGCTGCAGCAGATTCTTGCGGAGTGGATGAACACCTAGTGAATCACTGCCTATTTAATTAGAATTCGTAATAAGGGGTGCTCAAGCAGCACTCTGTTTTATTGGAAGACAGAAGCTTACCCCAGGGGAAAGGATGGATGTGTTTTTGTGGGGTGGGGTGGGGCTGGGGCTTGATACAGGGTAAACAGAGGTGCATCAGGCAACCGGCATCACCATAGCAACAGCCCGCCGCCTGAATGTTCGAGAATGATAGACGGCGTGTCTGTGTTCATCTCCTGCTCAGCACCTCCCGGTCCTGGATCGAACCCTGCTCTCCAGGCACCCCGGCCCCCCGTACCCCCGGCCGAGGGTGTCACGGGGGGCTGCAGTCTCGACCGCGCGCTGCACACCGTAATGTTGCTGCCGGGTCTCATCTGGCGCAGTGCTGCTTTACTGTTGGCTCATGTTCAGAAGCATTACCGTCAAGAGCAGCAGAAAAACACACATGCAGGCATTTTGTGGCACCCGGATTGTGTTTTAAAATGTCTGTGTGCTTTCGTGTGTGTGTGTGTGTGTGTGTATGTGTGTGTACGTGTTTGTGTGTCTGTTTTTTTCGCCGCCACGGTAGCTTTAAACCCACGCAGAGTGCACTCCCCCCCTGCAAAAAGGACATGGAGGCAGACCTGGGGATTGCAGATGGAGGCGGTTTGCGCCGGCTTTGTCCATAAACGTGTTAGTGCATTCAAATACCCTCTCAGACAAAAGCCAGTGTAACCTTTCTGACAGAGCAGTGAGTAATACTTTACTGTGAGTGCTCAGAATTTCTGAAAGCCTCCTTGTGTGCAGTCTTCTCCTTCAGTGCTTTTCTGTTTAATTAACCATTCATCTATGGAAGCCTGTAATTACAAGTTCAGAGGTGATTGCTGAGAGTGCTTCAGTCAGATAGTTTAATGGAATTTACAGTACGCTTGTTATAATAATTTATTAAATTGCCACCCTTCAACTTCAATTAAATTCCTTTGGTTTACCTGAAAGGGAGTAATATGTTTTTTTTTTTTTCCCCCTTTAGTCTTTCTGTACACTCGCGGCTTCCCAAATCCTCTTCAAGTTGTGACAGTGGGGGTTAGGTGTTATCTATTCAATCAGAAAATTAAGCCTTTCAACAGTGGGAATTCTATTATTTATTTTTTACTCTATGAACAAGAGAGCGCTGGGGTGCATTGTTTAGTGTGCATCTTTTTAAGGACGATTTCCATCATTTTCACGGTATTCACAGTGCATTCCCACTGCAGGCTGTTTTTGAAAATGCGGGCTTTCTCCGTGACTTTGATATCCTCAAAAGCTCCGTTAGATCTCTCGAGCCAGACTGTTTTGTTTGGATGTTTGTTTGTTTGGCTACGTCAGAGCTCTTAACACCCCCTTGTCTGTGCTCACTTCTCTCCCGAGTGCAGCCAGTGCGTAAATCAGGTGATTAAATGCAGATTATCCCAGGGCCAATACAAATCACACTGCTGCCTCAGACTTGAACAACAGTTTCATAACATTTACCAAAAAGCACTTTTAGCATATGCGGTACACAGTAAATTTCATCAACAAACACGCTGGAGAATAAGCGCCGCGTTTGTTGCGCTCCCTCGTTGTTTTGTGAAAACGGTGAGGGAGAACGACGCTATAATTGTAAGCGGATTAGGTTTGTATGTTTAGGCAGTAGGACTTGGTCTGGCTAGTGAAGGACTGAGAGGAGGACTGTACCAAACCCCCCAACCCCCACACCCCGCGCTCCAATCAGAGGGCTAGGCAGGCGGCTTCTTTGCAAGCTTCCAGAAGGATCGACTTCAGAGAGGCCCAATTCAGGCGGTCAGAATCGGTGCAGAGATTTCGGGGGAGAGCGCTGAGGAGAGGGGAAAAGAAAAAAAAAAAAGCTGGTCTCAGATTGGCTGTGAGAATAGCACAGAATTATGGGGCCCATCTGCCTCCTGTAATATATTCATAATAATGAACAATGAGGTGACAGAAATGGAGGAAGGGGGAGGGAGGGAGTCGGGGAGGGAGGGGAGGGGAGGGGTGTGGGGGAGAGAGAGAGAGAGCAAGGACACAGGCGCTCCTGTGCTGGTTGGCTCAGCGCATGTCAGGCAGGCTGAGCTGGAATTAATCAGGGATTGGCGTCAGCGGAGCCAGCTCAGAGCGAGGCTGCGCTGGAGGACCTGAGCCGTGCAAATAAGCGCCCGCGACGGAAGGCAGAACCCGGGGGGGGTGGGGGCCGAGGTGTGTGCGCGTGCATGCGTGCGAGTGCACGCGCGTGTCTGCCCCGCTCTAGGGGTGCATGTGTTAAGACTTGGTGTACGGTGGGACGGTGCTACGTAAGGTTTTGACAGCAAGTGAGACTGTATGGATTATGATCGTTTGCTTTTATCTGGGAACTACATTGCAGGATTACCGCTATAGGGCTTTACATGCTGCAGTTTTGTTTGCGTATGTGTGGTGTGTGTTTGTATGTTTGTGTGTGTGCGCATTAGTTTACATGGTTACAGGCTGTAGCCGTACACGTATATCAGTTGCCATCTTAATAAAGCTTATGATTATTATTATTATTGTTGTCGTTGTTGTTGTTAAGGTTCTCTTTGGTTTATTATATCTACACAGTATCCATGTGCTCCTTTGCTGCAGTACATCACTTCTCTGCAGTCTGATGGCCTGGTGTAGAAGAGATGTTGGCACTCAGTATCGCTGAGTACACTGGTGTGCGGCATTTGCTGCCTGGTGTCTGATCTGCATCTCTGCCCTTTATAATGTTACCCTTTCTCCAAAGCTAGAACCTGTCTGTAAAGCTGGACCCTGTCTGGCTCATTTAGTTAAGGTTCGTTGTTGGTTTTGCATGATCCTGTTTATCGTGCTGACCTTTGCAAGCTCGGCCCTCTAGCGTTACTGGCGCTGGCCTACTTTCAAGCGGGCTGTGGGCGGAGTCTGCAGGCTGCGTAACCGTGCTGCTTCCGTCAGCGTCGGCTCCAGAAAGCGAGGAGAGCAGCTCGTAAGAGAGAGAAGAGTGTGCGGCCGTAGCGGCCGAGCAGAGGAAAGTGGAACTAATGTGGGCTCTTTGGGAAACCAAATGATGTCCAGGCAGAAGTCAGCATACAGTGCAGTGTTGGGTAATGCAGTGATCCTGTACCAAGTCACCAGCTCGTGCAAGCTTGGTCCCCGCTCTGCAGTGGTAAATGGGGGGGAATGTGTAAACTACATCCTGAGCCAGCTCCCTTCTCTCTTCCCAGTGGACCTCCTGCTTGTTTCAGACAGGCTCATGAAAACCCACATTTGCCCTCTAAGGAATAGTGGGGGGACTCAAAGCAAGAAAATGAAACTGTACAGAATCTTGGCAGATACCATTGATGCATTTTCCTCATAAATGCCAGGGCTTTGAAGTGGTTTTCTTTACCGAGTGCACAGGATGTTGTGTAGAATATGTTGAGTATTTACTGGGGTTTGATCTGCTCCTAGCCTCCAGGTCCACTTTGTGCTACAAGCACTTACTCCCTAGGCTGCGATTGGTCTTTCCCTTGGCTTTGTACGTAGCGCTTGGCTGGGAAATGGTTGATTGGGCGCGACTGCTGTTAAATTGCAGAGAGGGGACCCCAGCGGTGGAGTGGGAACACAGCCCTCGCCCCTGCGCACACTTTTTTTTGGCATCAGACTCCTGCAGCCTCAGCAGAGCAGTGATGAGTGGCACGGTCGGCCTTTGAAGTGGGGGGGGTCAGAGGAAGTATGAAGTTCCTCTAATGGGACCCTTTCGGTCTGTGCTTACTGAAAGAGACAGGATGGCTTTCTGTGCGCCCACAGCAGAACCCAGGCCGTGCGTCCGCACCAGCGGCCTGCATGACGCTGAACGTTGTGGGGTTTTTTTTTATGGTTTTAGGGCTTAACACAACCCATGAGGCTTGTAGGGAGGTGTTGTGTGGAAGATTTAACAGGGATGGACCGAAAAATGATTTTATAAGAGTTTCTGAATCTGAAATCCAGTCTCATGTTCCTCTTAAATCACAGTACTCTTCAGCCCTCCTTAGGAACGAATGAAACTGAAGGGTCTTTATGTTATAAAGCTGCCATAACTGAAGGTGCACAAATGCCGCAGCTGAAGTAAGCTCTTTCTGCGTAGTCTCCACCCCCCCTACCCGATGTATTCTGTGAAGCAGTAGTCTTACAGGGCAAAGCTTGTGTGTCCTGCTGCTTTTTCCCCCGCTGCTATAATGCCTTTGCTGTTTGTCTCTGCAGTGCCAGAATCTGCCAAGCCCAACTCCAGCCCTCCCCACCCTGCCAACCCCAGCGCGACTCCTTCAGTCCCCACGGTTAGCAGCAGTGGCAATGGCAAGCGCGCCCCCTCCGGTGTCCAGCAGCAGCAACCGGCCGCCCCGCGCTACCCTCCCCGAGAGGTGCCCCCGCGTTTCCGCCAGCACGAGCACAAGCAGCTACTGAAGAGGGGCCAGCCACTGCCCGCGGGGACCCTGCCTCTCGCCTGCGGCCAGCCGGGGGCGCACTCCCCACCTAGAACCGCCGCCAGCCTCTCACAGCCCTCCTCCTCCTCCAGCAAGCGGCACGCAGGTCAGCAACGCGTGCCCCTCTCAGTGTCCTTCTCCTGTCCCCCCTGTCCCCCCTGCGGTGTCCCCTGTCCTGCTTTGTCCTCTGCATTGTGCCCTGTAATCATTACAGCATGTGTAGTTGTGGAGTGGCGGCAGTGTAGCGTAGTGGTAAAGTGCAACGCTCGCAACCCTAAGGTTGCTGGTTCAATTCTCTGCTGGGGCACTGCAGTATTGCCCCAGTAAAAATGCAGCTAAATGGATGAAACTGTAAACTCTGTAAGTCGCTCTGGATAACAGCATCTGCTAAATGACAATAATGTAATGTAGTGTAATGTGGAGAGCGTTAAAAATCTGGCCACAGGTTTGCTAATGCTAAGGTTGTCTGTGTATGATTTCGAAGTCTTCACACTGGAGAGGGGACTCGAGAATAATGCTTTGGAAAGTCAATAGCACAACATTTCAATGCCTGGATTGCAGAACCCAATCGAATCATTCCCCAGCACCTTCACAAAGCCTTTAATAAACTCAAAAGAGGGTATGTTTACCAGAGTGTATAGAAAAGGCTTGTTCTTTTAGTTTAGCTGTGCTGCTGCCTTTTTCCACACTGCTAGCAGTTATGAAAAGAGAGGAAACAACCGCTGACAATGGAAGGTCCTTGAATACACAAAGCTGCCAGAAAGTGTCTACCCCGCTGGAGTGCAGGGCCACATGTATCATTAAGCAATAACCCTGAGTATCGCTCGCAGGGGTGTCCTTGTCCACCTCTGCCATAACGCTGCCGTCCATAGCAGCTTGCAGGCAAGCATTTTCCGCTGTTTTGTCAGAACGTGATGACAGTGGTGCGATAGCGCTTAGATAATGGTGGAATTGGATGCTGTTTGTTGTGCATTGCATGCCAGTTTGTGACCATATTTCATTTCATGAAAGCTTTGACCCACGTAAAGCACTGTTAGAAGACATTAAACATTTACACATTTTGCAGTTGATCTTATCCAGAGTGACTTACAAAAGTGCATTCGGTGGAGATAGGCAATTAGCTGCACAGATACTGGATCGAGACAACCTGCACAAATGCAATGTGACGTATGTTGGACTAATAGCTCAGCGACAGATGACTGAAGAATAACGGGTATTTCCAGGCTCTGAGGAGTAAATCTTTTGTCACTTATATCAAAATAATACATAACTGCAGCATTGCTGTAGTATATTATGTAAGGAAATGAATACAGTTGACCCTCCCACATGGGGGGGGGGTTAGGGGCTCGCGTAAAATTTTATATATTTTATATATATATCTGTGTATATTTATGGTATTAAACGATAAAATACTTTAATATTATACGTATATTTTATGCATTTATGACTTACTAAACTTTTTTACGTTTTCTATACTTTTCATCTGCTACGTGCGTCGTCTGCAGTGCTACGCAGTTTCCTGCACAAGGCATCAAAGCTCCCAAAAAAATCCCATTGAATTGTTTGTTGCCGACCCACGAAAAATCGAAGCCGCGATGTGGAAAGCCGCAATGTGGGAGGGTCAAGTGTAGTGTTTTAATCTACTTGAAGAGTGACTGTTTTGCATCTAAAGCATTGGGGGAACAAATGGAACAATATTGATTTACTGCTACAATAAAGTGCACTACAACTACAGGTATGCCACAAACTACAAAACTACCACATTACTTAAAGAGGAAATACATGGTTGGAACTGTAGGACTAAGGCAAGCTCAAATTTACTCTATTTTATGCTTGTTTTATGCTTGTTTGCTCACTGTTGTCCAACAGTTGAAATTGAAAGCCTGTGCTTTTGCAGTCTTTTTAAATTCACCATGTCTGCACTCTCTTAATATCCCATTAAAGACCATTTTAACCTCCCAATGGTTTTCATATTAAATGAACCCTTTTAATGTCATATAGAAACCAACTTATTATGACTCATTTCGCATTAGCTATAAAGTTAGATGGCTCATAAGTACTTAAATGAATTTGCGTGCAATTTTTTTTTTCAGTGTCTCTTGGGATGGCTGTTACCATCTTTTTCCTTTTTAAAAAATTTGAAACAAGCGTTACATTTGTAGCAATTACACAGGTATTATCAGAGTGTGCCACTGTACAGACTGTCCACATCTCAACTGGTAATAACATCTGTTGGTGTAATTCACATTACCCAACACTAGGTGGTAAAACATGGCATTGTTTTTGAAAAAGAAGGCATTCTAGCTGGATGTTTGTGTATATAGCTAAACAGACTTAGTGCATATAAACGTATCTTGACAGGATCAAAATTATTCTGGATGACTGCAGAAGAAATCGTTCTATTTACCTCCTTTCTATGCAAGTAAAAACTTTGTCTACAGTGCTGGAAATTTACAGCATAATAAGTTTTCTAACTGCCTTGATTGCTTTTTCCATTGTAAAAGTATTGAGTATGTGTAGGGTTGCTAGAAAGCATTGTAGCCCTATGCAGGTTTATGTTCTGTGAATTTCCCGAAATGTTGGAAGAATATTATTAAAATGTCAGGCTCTTAATTTAGCATACTTCTGAGATCCCCCAAGAAAACATTATTCTGGTTAACTGCTAACTGCTCAGACTTTGCTGCACAGCAGTGGAGCGTTATATTTGCTAAACTGAGAATATGTAATTATTTTGGATCCCTGTTGAGCCCCTCGCTGTGCGTGAGCGGCGCTCTGAGGCTGCAGAGGAAGCCCTGCGCGTTCCGAGGCCTACGCAGCGGCAGCGAGCGTGTGTGGCCGGGGTCCAGCGCCCTGGGCCCAGTGACTCACAGGCTTACAGTAAGTGTACGTGATTCATCCGGGTGTCTCTGCAGCTCCCCTGTCTGCGCTCCCTCTGATGGGAGCCAGAGGCCTGCAGGGGGACGGCCTCACGGCTCGCCCCTCGTTCTCGCCATCCCGCGCCTCCTGTAGGCCGGGGGACCACCAATGGGGGTCCGTTGGGGGGGGGGGGGGTGTGCGTGCGGGCACAGAAGAAGGGGGCGGTCGCTCCGCACAAAGATGCTTCTGTTTGTCCACGGAGCGCTCTGTCCTGCACGCACAACACAGCCTGCTCTGTGTTCCAGCACTGTGCCTGAGCAAAGGGCAAAAAAACAACAACTTTGCATCCACTGTGCTCACCGATTTAATTCTCTCTCTGCGTGCGAATGCATGTGTAGTGAACTGTGGTTGCGTGGGATGGTTATTTAACGCACATATACAGCACGCCTCTCAAGGAGAGCCCCCTGCTTTTCAAGTGGTTCCAGAGGAAGCTACTCCAGCGCAGCTTAATCAAAGACAGCTTGCTGGGCTGTTTTCCTTGCGCGGTGCAGGGCTTGTATTCATTTTGTTTTGGTGCCTTTCATTACTGAGTCACATGTTTACTCTTATGCAGGGAGGCCAGGACCAAGCGCACCAGGACCACTGTAAACAGTCTGGAGTGCTTGTGGCTGTGAAGTGCATTAAAACCAAATGGCTTCCACTGAAGGGGGGGAGATTGCCTCTTCATTAAGGGCCAGTTTGTATCAGTGACCCGCTGTCGTGCCCAGACGAGCGGAGCGATGCAGCCGAAAGCCGGCGACTGGCGTGTGTTCGGCCCGTCGGGCCGCGGGCGCGGGGCCGGCAGGGTCTCTGCAGATGCAGCCCGGGGTGATGAAGCGCAGCGGCCCTCTCTGAGTGTCGCTGGAGTTCAGCTGGTCTCACATCCTCCAGGTCATGCTCTGTCGATGGATCACTGTCACACAGTTGTGATGGGTCACATTCCAGAATCCTGCTGTCACATGATTGCCAAAATGTGAAATGGATAGCTGGTAATTTAATTTTTCCTTTTTTCTTTCAAAATTACTTGGAAACGACAATAAATCACTTGATGTCATTTGTGTTGTTTGGCTGCGGCTTCATAAATTTTAGAGTTCACTCAGTCAGTGACTCACAGACTGAGCAGCCGCTGGCAAAATAATGAGAGTAACGTTGCATTACCTCTAGAGGTTGCCACCATTAAACAGGGCCTGTTTCAGCTCTCATTTACAAGCAGGATCAAGTCTGCTGGCTGTGTGGGTTTCCATCACCACATGGTGGAGGCCCTTCAGCAGTCTGCCTGTTACAAATTCAGTATGGCACTATTGCTTCAGGGCTGAAGAGAGGCGATGGCTAAGGAACAGATTGTTTAAAGTCACCGTAGATGTTTCATCTCCAAGATCATCACTGTAGGAAGTCTTGAACGTGTTTCATGCATCTAGTAAAATGAACATGAATGGGGCGGCAGTGTAGCATTGTGGTAAGGAGCAGGGCTCATAACCGAAAGGTTGCTGGTACGTTTCCCCACGGGGGCACTACTGCTGTACCCTGGGTCAAGATACCTAACCCAGATTGCTTCAGTAAATATCCAGCTGTATGAATGGATAACATGTAAAATTGTAACCCAGGTAAGTTGCTCCAGATAAGAACATGTCCTAGGTGAAAATAATGTAATGACTGTAATGTTGAAAGTGTGGTTAGTAAAATGCAAGTCATGATGCTTGACATCATCACTGTAACTATCATTTTTGGCATTCTCTGGCAAATATTTCATATTTGAACACAAAATGAATCCATCATTAAATTTGGCTGACTAGACAGTCAGGAGTTATCAGTAAGGCAAAAAATTCAGTGTGGCGGGAGGAAATAATAGTTGAAACACTTGAAAGCAGTACCCTAACCTTTTAACTTGACACATAAGAATTAAGCTCTTCTGTTAGATGGGTGATTTTTTTCCCCAACACACCACCTGCAACAGATACCAGACTGTGACAAGGATTCATGTCTGTCAGTGCAGTTATCATTGTGTTAATGCCAAGTATTAGGGGATGAATGAAGTGTTTATATAAAAAGAATTTGGAAAAAACATTTGCTCAAATGCAACAATGCTTGATTGATTTTACCCTTGTAAAAATATTTTTTACACCATGGTTATAAAGGAGAAGCCAATGAAAATTCCTTCTAGTGCGCAGTGCCATTTTAGGTCATAGTGCCATTATGGGTTTGTTGTAAGCTAGCTGTGTGGAAACAGGGAGGCTTGACAGCCATAAGGTCGGATGTGTTCATGCGTTACTTGCACGGTGCATGTTCCAGTTGTGTGCGTCAGCTTCTATTTAGGATGCATGTGCTAGTCATACCAAAATTGGCAGTAAAAATGGTTTACTAACTAGCCACAAAAATTCCATGTGTTATCTGCAGTGTGTCTAGGTGCTTCCAAACAT